CAAGCTCTCAGTACAGCCTTCGGATCTTTACCCACACAAAACATGGTCAGCAGTGACATCATGAAAAAAAAAAAAAAAAAAAAAAAAAAATATATATATATATATTGAGATGGAGTCTTGCTCTGTCACCGAAGCTGGAGTACAGTGGCATGATCTTGGCTCTCAAAACCTCAACCTCTTAGATTCAAGCAATTCTTCTGCCTCAGCCTGCTGAATAGCTGGGATTATAGACGCGCATCACCACTTCTGGCTAATTTTTGTATTTTTAGTAGAGACAGGGTTTTACCATGCTGGCGAGGCTGGGAGCTGAAAATATTTTTAATTTACTAGCAACTACTTGAGAGAGTACTATGATGGATACAAGAGGTCTTGCAGGTTTAAAATCAAGATCGGAGTATGGGCTAAACCATAAGAAAGGCTGACATTTAAGGGACTATTTTAGAAGGCAGTAAAGGGCAGGTCAACAGGGTGGGAAAGAACCAAAATAGGTGTCAAGGAGCTCCAAAGAGATAAACCAATTTGGCACATGCATTACTGTAACCTTTGGCAACTGAAGCAGGAGAAAAAATAGAACAAGGTCAGAGATAAAGCAGAAGTGCAACTTCTTTAGATTAAAAACTGAGTAAGACAAGACTAGCAGAATAATTACTATAAGGATCATCTTTACTAGATGAGAAGGAAGAGAGAGATGAACTGAAGAGAGTGCTATCATCTACACAGGCCGAGTGGCAACGAAGTTGAAACTTTGAGACGTGCAAAAAGGACTTGCTGAACACTAGCTGTCTGCCAGGAGCCACAAGATCATGCAGGGACAGCAACAGTGAATACAGGCAATGGTCCTGTCCTCTGATCTGGTGCAGTGAGTTAAGATGGTAATCAATGGAGACCCCACAACAGACAGGATAAGGAGCTTGCCTGAAGGAGAGGCATCTTTTCCTTTGATGCTGGTATAATAGCAGGAATGAAATGATTAAGAGGGGCATATGGAGAGGATAAAGATCACATCTTATCTTTTTCTTTTTTAATGTAAAGTAAAGGCTACAGGTAAAACAAAACAATAAGCATCTCACTTTACTCCTCAACAACTCTCAGATAGTAAAGTCCCTATTTGGTTTTGTTTTTCTTTTCTTTTGCTATTTATTTTTCAGACAAAAAATGTGAATGTTTATCTATATATAACACATTATTCTGAAATATGTGTGCCTTGTGAAATGGCTAAATCAAGGGAATTTTTTTTTTTAAGATGGGGTTTCACCATGTTGGTCAGGCTGGTCTGGAACTCACTACCTCAGGTGATCCACCTACCTTGACCTCCAAAGTGCTTGGATTACAGGCATAAAGCACCACACCCAGCCAACAAGGGAATTAACATATGCATTACCTCACATTCTTTTTGTGGTGAGAACATTTAAAATCTACTCAGTGATTTTCAAAAATATAATATATTGATATTAACTACAGTCACTATGTTGGACAATGGATTTAATTTTGTATCCCGTGACCAACATCTACCCAACCCTCCCACCTCCAACCCTCATCACCTCCTCCAGGATCCCCATTCTTGACACATAAGGCAAAAGACACACAGTGAGGCTTGACCACTATCAAATAGCTAACAAGGGGTTGGGAAACCAGACTTTTTTAGTTCTATTCATGTTGGCAATGTGAAGACCACCACCCCAAACCAAGATCCCTATGCTGCAGGTCCGTAGGCCATGCGTTGACCCAAGCCCTGGAGAACCCTAGTATCCTCACAATGCTTCAAAGTATTCAGCTAAGCCTATGACATTAAGGAGTTAATAATAAAAGGCTGAGGGAGGGAGGAAAGTGAAAAAAAATTAAGAAAATAAAATAAAAGGCTTCAGTATTTGGCACACAGTCAAACCAACAGTATGTTCTTAATAAATGACAGATGACCGGTGGTAGTAAGAGGAAGTGGCTGCTGTAGAGGCAGAAGAGCAATGTGATGACAGCACAGATTCAAGAGCAAATCTGTGACCTGGGCAAGTTATATAACCACTCTGTGCCTCCGTTTCTCTATTTGTACAACAGGGATAATTATAATAAACACCCTCTTGGGTTGCTTGGTACATTGAGTACATAGGTACGTAAAGCCCTTAGAACAGTATCTGGCATTTAGTAACTGATCAGGGGTTTAATTTTACGACTACTGCTACTGCCACTGCTTACTACTGCTGCAACTATGGATTACTAAGTAGTATGACTCAATAGTAGGGAGGCAATAAAAATGCATCAAAAGGAGTCCCATCTGCAGCCAGAGTATACCACAAAACTCTTTCAGAGCTAGAGGAGTATCTATCACTGATAGTATAATTTAAATAGGAAAGTCTTTTCCTTGTTTTGCTAATGTAGGAGTCAGATCACGTTAACAGTGAACTTGAGTTCATAACAATGCATTTCTAAATGGTCAGAAATATCTGAAGAAATAAAGCCATAAAGCCACCCATCAATTAGTTTGACCTGTTTCTTCTATTTTTTTCTGAGACAGAGTCTTGCTCTGTTGCCCAGGCTGTATCTTGGCTCACTGAAACCTTCGCCTTCCAGGTTCAAGCAATTCTCTGTCTTAGCCTCCCAACTAGCTGAGATTACAGGCACATGCCACGACACTCAGCTAATTTTTGCATTTTAAGTAGAGACAGGGTTTCGCCATGTTGGCCAGGCTGGTCTCGAACAGCTGACCTCAAGTGATCCGCCCACCTCGGCCTCCCAAAGTGCTGGGATTAAAGGTGTGGGCCACAGAGCCTGGCCATTTTTTTCTTTTTTAAGACAGGGTCTCACTCTGTCACCCTGGCTGGAGTGCAGTGTCATGATCAGGGCTCACTGTAGCTTCGATCTCCCATGCTCAGGCAATCTTCCCATCTCAGCCTCCCAAGTAGCTGGGACTATGGCAAGCATCACTGCATCTAGGTAGTTCTTTTTGGGTTTTGTTTTGTTATTTTCTGTAGAAGTGGGATCTTGCCACGTGGCCTGGGCTGGTCTCAGCCTCCAAAATTGCTGGGATTACCGCCACCATGCCTAGCCTCAGCTGTTTCTTAAACTGAAAAATTGGAATAGAAATAGTTGTCTTGTAGGCCGGGCACGGTGGCTCACGCCTGTAATCCCAGCAATTTGGGAGGCTGAGGTGGGCGGATCACAAGAGGTCAAGAGATCGACACCATCCTAGCCAACATGGTGAAACCCCATCTCTACTAAAAATACAAAAAATAGCCGGGCATGGTGGCACGTGCCTGTGGTCCCAGCTACTCGGGAGGCTGAGGCGGAAGAATCGCTTGAACCCAGGAGGTGGAGGTTGCAGTGAGCCAAGATTGTACCACTGCACTGCCTGGCGACAGAGCAAGACTCTGTCTCAAAAAAAAAAAAAAAAAAAAAGAAATAGTCGTCTTCTTTAACTGAAGACATTGGTCCTTGGAGTAGATGTTCACTGAACCATAATGCATATCTTATGAGCACAGTGACTCTATGTATCAAAATATTATGTCTTAGGATTGTGCCTATCAAAGTGAGGCATTCCAAAATAATAAATAAAATAAATCCAATTTTCTAAATATTCCCATAAAAATAGTTTCCCCACATAATTTATCTTCTTCCACTTTTCTGCTTTAGATGTGGACTAAAACATTTTTCCCCCCAGAAAACAAAAACACTGTGTTCTCAACTTGAATTTCAGGTTCAGCCTAGACAAAAAAAAAAAAAAAAAAAAAAAAAAAGGTGGGAATGCACCATGTAAACTGGCTCTATGACCCTTCATCTTCTCCGGAAGCGTTACTTTCGACATTTCAGCCAGCCAAGTCTAAATGATATATATCAAAAAGGTGGAGGTAGTGCTATATAGGCTCAGATATAAGATTAGACTTGTTAATAGAATGCCGATCCCATGAGTAATGCTCACAGCTGTGGCACCCAACAATGGAATTAACATTTCAACAGGAAGCAGAGAGCCATCCCCACAGAAAGGGCCACCCGATCCCGCTTCAGATCACTTAACCAAAAAAAAAAAAAAAAAAAAAATTATCTTTCCAGAGGCTACACTAAGTGTGCCTCCTAGGATCCTACCTAGGATTTTTTTAAATGAATTATTTGGTTACAAAAAGCAGCAAGTGCTTAGTTTGACAAACAAGATCAGTTGGTTAAAACACTGACATGGAAACATCCGTTTTTTGACATGGCAAAAAACGGCATGTCAATGGCATGTAAAAATGCCTCCTAATGGTCCACGCATTTTTACATGCCATTTTCCCCCCTCCCAGAGAAAGGAGCAGTCGCAATTACCCTGTACAACTCAGTCCGTCTTATCTCCAAAATGAACCGACTCACTACAAACTTAAAAGCGAGGTCACTGAAATTCTCCTTTGCACTTTGCCTCGGGACTGCAGAAACCAATGCTGCATTTTGCAGGCACCCACTTTTGATTTCCCACGGTCTACTTCACATTATGTGTCGGATTAGTTCTTGCCCGGGCCCGCTGTTTTCAGGAGACTAAGCATGTCCAGGCTGGCGTTCGCTCAGCGCCTCTTTCCTAGAGGTAGCCTGGCCGATCCGAGGCGCGGGCAGCTCCTGGCTATTAAATAATGGCGTTTCAATTCAGCCTCCCCGCCTGTGCGACTCGACACTTGAAAACTCGCCGACCAAGGCTTTTGAAATCGGGTAACGCTGGATAGAACCGACACGGAGGCTGACAAGGGAGAGGGCCAGAGCAAAGAAAGGCAGGACCACACCGGGGCAGAGAATGCTATGGGAGACCTGCGAGGCGCACCTGACGCACCGCGCCCGACCCCTCCGCCGCGGCTCCACCCTGCCAGGCTGGGGCTCCCGGCCCCGCAAAAGCGTCCCTGCGCAATTCCGCTCGCCCCGCCGCCGCTGCAGCAGCGCCCCCAAATCGCGCCCGCCCCCTCCCCCACGCCCCATTGTTCCTGGGTGGCTGCGGGCAGCGAGCGCTCCCAGGCTAGGCGGGGGCTGAGGACCCCAAGGCCCCCACTCACCCGCGACTCCGCACAGGAGCACGAAGCGCAGCAGGAGCGCCATGGTGGCTGCCGTCGGTGGGCGGCGGCTGCAGGTGGCAGCTCTCGCTCCGGGTCCCAGGCTCCCCGGGTCTCGCGCGCTCCCGACTGGCTCGCGGCAGCAGCGGCACCTCTGCACCCTCCGCCCCTCCTCCCCACCCCGGCTCTGCAGGTGAATTCGCGTCACTTCCGGAAGCGGCCCGGGCCGGGCGGAGAGCGCCCGCTTCTCCAGCCGCTCGAGGTTGCCTTGACAACCGAGCGCGGCGCTCCTCGGCCCCCCGGACCCTCCCGGCGCGGAACTCTCAGCCTTGCAGCGCGCGGCGTCTGAGGGTGCTGGAGGTAGCCTCCCACGCCGCGAGCCTGCACCGGGGTCCCGCCTCCATCCCTTAAGCTAAATCAGGGTTTTGCGCGCGGGGGTAGGGCAGCCGGTCTCCCAGATACTGAAATTACGTCGGCGCCCTCCTTTAGGGCGAGGCGCCGGACACCCGGAGGGGCCGCCGCTAGGGCGACTTGAGCCTCCGCCCCACCTGCACCCACCCAGCGCACCCCTGGCGGCGCCACCCGCCCCAACCCTTGTAGTCTGCCCCAGAGGCAGGGTCTCTGACCTCAGGCTCTCGGGAAGCGACCTGGGCAGCCCCCTGGGGTTCGCTATCTTAATGAGTCTCGTGCGCTGAGATAAAAGGCCCGAGAAGGGTTTTCATCATCTCCAGTAAGGATCGAGCCCCGCTGCCGCTACCGATTTGGGAAATACCTGTTTTCCCCCCTTTGCACATAAAGGCTATCCTAGCCCTGAGTCTGGCTAGTAAGGACGCGTGAGTGAGCTTTGAAAGTGGGTCTCGGCCGGGAGCGGTGGCTCACGCCTGTAATCCAGCTCTTTGGGAGGCCGACCCTGCAGTATCATTTCTGCCTCTGGTGCCCACTACATTTGGGTTAGTTTGCGGCTTGTTCTAGGCTGCTCTTCCAGATAACGTTTATTTATAACTACATAGAGACTTTGGAGTGTCACGACAGTTCCGTATCAGGAGTGAATTGAAGAAGAGAAGCAGTGGGTAAGAGCTTGGGCTGCGGAGTGGGGCATTAACTGGTCAGGTTTCATAGAAATGGCACCTACCGGACAGGCGCGGTGGCTCCCGCCTGTAATCCCAGCACTTTGGGAGGCCGAAGCGGGCGGATCACGAGGTCAGGAGACCCAGACCATCCTGGCTAACATGGTGAAACCCCATGTTTCTCTACTGAAAATACAAAAAAAAATTAGCCAGGCGTTGTGGCACGCGCCTCTAGTCTCAGCTACTTTGGATGCTGAGGCAGGAGAATCGCTTGAACCCGGGAGGCGAAGGTTGCAGTGAGCCGAGATCGCGCCACTGCACTCCAGCCTGAGCGACAGAGCAAGACTCCGTTCCTCCTCCCTCCCCCCAAAAGAAACGGCTTATACCTCAAGGTTGCTATGAAAGTTAAATGAGATAATGCACAAAAAAAATGCAGGCACCCTGCCTGGCATATAATTTTAATTAGCTTCCATTTACTGGGTTCTTGCTTACAGGGTTCCTGCTTATGTAGTCTATTAGCTTACGTAGTCTGTCAATTTATATAGTAAATTCCTGCTTACTAGCTAGACTAAGCAAGAACCTGTAAGCAGAATTTAGTAAGTGGAAGCTAATAAAACTAATATTTTTTGCATTGAACCAGAAAAAAGAAAGGAAAACTTTTATGCATTGAACCAGAAAAAAGAAAGGGCAAAGAAATCAGTTATCAGGAAGACCAGAAAAAAGAAAGGAAAACTTTTATGCATTGAACCAGAAAAAAGAAAGGGCAAAGAAATCAGTTATCAGGAAGACCAAAATTGCGCAACTGCAATTTAGCCTGGTGAGTTGGAATTCTGGCTGCACATTATAATTACTTGGAGAACGTTTTAAAAACACTGGTGCCTGAGCCTTACTTCTGTGATTCTAATTTAACTTGATTTGAATGGAATCCTGCTTTATGGCAGCTTAAATGACAGATGACCAGTGGTAGTGAGAGGAAGTGGCTTTGCAAAATGATCTGATTCTAAAGTTCTGCCAAAGCTTTTGCAACCTATTAAGAGTTCAATACAGACGGAGGACAACATGAGTAACGGCTAGGGACTCCCTATTTGAGCAAACAGGAATTCTGTTGGATATAATTGCGTGTAAATAATATTTTAAATTTTTACTCACCACATTATACTTAATGAAATCAAGGAGAAAAGAGCAAGTATTGAAGTTATACATCTGTTTAACACTGTTCTATAAGAACTTTTCTTAGTATTCACTGCTGCTTTAAAGTAGCACGCATTTGTTATAAAGTTAACTACCCTTAGCACTTCCTGCAATAGAAATAAAACCCACACTTCAGGAATTATTTCAAACACTAGAGTAAATCTTAGAAATTACTCAAAAGGTTCAAGCCAGCAACAGTGTGTTAAAATTAAAAAAAAAAAAAGACGTACATGGTGGCCCAGCATGTTGGGAGGCTGCGGTGGACGATTGCCAGAGCTCAGGAGTTCGGCAAGCCTCGGCAACATGGCAAGACCGCATCTCTACTAAAAAAATGAGCGGGATGTGGTGGCGCGTGCCTGTAGTCCCAGCTACTCCGGAGGCCGAGATGGGAGGACAAATATCCAATATTAATTTTGTTAACTTCCACTTACTATGTGCAGGAACCCCGTAAGCAGGATCTCAGTAAGAGGAGCTAATAAAGTGAGCCCAGGAGTCTGAGGTTGAGCAGAGCCATGATCATGCCCCCGCACTCCAGCATGGGCGATAGAGCCAGACCCTGTCGCGGAAAGTAAGAAGAGGGAGAGGAGGAGGAATTAACCCAAAAGGATTTTCCTGGTACTTTTTCTTATATTCGTAGCTTTTGCCTCCTTCTGTGTTAGGCATTTGCAGACCTATTAATTACTTTCCTTGTTCTAAATACTTCTATAAGGATGAAAAAGCACATTTTTTTTTTTGTCTTGCTCACTCTTGAAAGCACATAGTAGGTTCTCAAGTGTTTCTCAAGCTGAGTCAAATGCTTATTTTCTATGGCAATATGTTAATCAATTTAAATATCAGTGCAGTAACAAATCATTACACCTTAAATAGATCTTTTCAGAATATATCTTTTTGTTTGTTTTTTGAGACAAAATCTCTCTCTGTTGCCCAGGCTGGGGTGCAGTGGAGCAATCTCTGCTCACTGCAACCTCCACCTCCCAGGTTCAGGCGATTCCCCTGCCTCCTTCTCCTGAGTAGCTGGAATTACAGGCATGTGCCACCACGCCCGGCTAATTTTTTTTTTTTTTTTTTTTTTTGAGACGGAGTTTCGCTCTTGTTACCCAGGCTGGAGTGCAATGGCGCGATCTCGGCTCACCGCAACCTCCGCCTCCTGGGTTCAGGCAATTCTCCTGCCTCAGCCTCCTGAGTAGCTGGGATTACAGGCACGTGCCACCATGCCCAGCTAATTTTTTGTGTTTTTAGTAGAGGAGGTGTCTCACCATTTTGGCCAGGATGGTCTCAATCTCCTGACCTCATGATCCTCCTGCCGCAGCCCCCCGAAGTGCTGGAATTACAGGCGTGAGCTACGGCGCCTGCCCCAGAATGTACTTTTTAAAATGTACGTTTTACAAGCTTAATTTTTTCTGTTTTTTTAGATTACTGAACACAGATTTTTAAAAATGTACCTACCATTCTAAGATTTAAATAATCTTGAAAGAAACAGTCTATGGGATTTGGGGAACCATTGTTCTTTAAAAAGTTACATGAAGTCATTTTTAGACTTTGGTTTGTGACTAAATTATTTCATAAACAGTAGGTAAACTTATGCAGTTATGTGAAATATATTAAACACACCTTAAAATGCGTTTGTGGTTGTTGTCAGCTTGGAAATTATGTTTTCTGGAAGCTATAATAAGATAATCTCATTTATTCTGGAACATATAAATTACTCTTTTGTGTCTTCAAACCAAGCTAAGAAATAGTGCACAGCCATTGAGTGAATGCCCTGACTTAGTAAAAAGCACCAAGCACTCCACATTATGTAGCCTCTAAACCAGCTTAAAGGTGATGATCCCTGGTCCATCAAGAAGGCAATAATTACAGATACACAATTAACTGTGGTTAATAAAGCAACCATCCTTGCAAAAACGACTCAGCACTAATGGATTTACCAACACACCCACAGATTATTTAAATCCTACAAGTTCATTCATTCAAAGGTTAATTTATACTTAAGAATTAAAGGATTTTCACCTCTTCTCAGCTTGAAATATGAAGACATGTGAATGAAGAAACTTTCTATTACATGTGACACTGCTAATTTTTTATGTTTTCTGAAAAATGATAATACTATTCTTAAGAAATGAAGGTTTCCTTCTAGTGTGTTCTATTTACATTACCAGGAACATTAGCTTTATGCGTCAATACCATCCAAAAGTTATCTATTTATCCCTAAGCAATGAATGTATAAATATATACCTTTTAGTTTTATGCCATGTATATTATAAATCAGGCTGGGTGTGATGGTTCTCCCCTGTAATCCCAGCACTTTGGGAGGCCAAGGTGGGTGGATCACTTGAGCTCAAGAGTTCGAGACCAGCCTTGGCAACATGGAGAAACCCCATCAGTACAAAAATTAGCCGGACATAGTGGCACAAGCCTGTAGTCCCAGCTACTTGGGAGGCTGAGGCGGGAGGATTCCTTGAGTCCAGGAGGTTGAGGCTGCAGTGAGCTGAGATCATGCCACTGTACTCCAGCCTGGGTGACAAAGTGAGACCCTGTCTCAAAATAAGTAAATCAACCCTTACGCAGTCACCTCAATTTTTTTTTATTTATTTTATGAGACAGAGGTCTTGCTATGTTTCCCAAGCTGGTCTTCATTACTGGCCTCAAGGGATCCTCCTGCCTCAGCCTCCCAAGTAGCTGGGATTATAGGGATTAGTCGCTGTGTCGGGCCAGATTTTTTTTTAGATTCCTAATGCAGATTCCAAAAATAAATACATAAAAGCAATACATTTTTATAATACAGACAAACTGACAATTTTATTGATGGGCTTTTAAAATATTATCCAAAGGCTAGGCGTGGTGGGTCACACTTGTAATCCCAGAGCTTTGGGAATCAGAGGCAGGAAGATTGCTTGAGCCCAGGTGTTTGAAGTTGCATTGCAGCCACCACTGTCTCCACACTGGGCCACAGAGAGGCTCTGTCTCTAAAAATATACAATAAAATGTTCTTGTCCAAGAAGAATCTGTTTCTTTCAGTTGCTTCTCTTTGTTTTGGTCTCTTCATGCTGATTTGGTCTCTTTCCTCCAGTGTCTGGTAATTCCTGGTTTTCTGCTCAAAGGTTAAAATAGAGCAGAAAAAAAAAGTGTAGAAAATAGAGAAAAAAAAGTCTGTACTTATAGTTGATGCTTTTTTATCGTGCTCTCAGATTGAGTCAAATTGGGAATGCCAATAAAATTACTTTTAGAAAGGACCGCTAATCGTCAACACTCAATGTAAACACAGGGTGGTCAGCTTTCTGGGAGGATGGCTGGAAGAGAACTGGGGGCATCAATTTTAGCAAATGAATTTTCATTTAATCCCTCTGCATGCAATATAGCATTCACACCCTAGACCTCTTTTATGTTCCTTCTTCCAAAGACCCTCTTTTTACTCCATAGAATAAGCGTACAGTCTTATGCCAGAGTACACGGGGCAAAGATGGGATCTCAGTGTTGAACTTTTTTTCCTTTTTTTTTTTTAAGACAAGATCTTGCTCTGTTGCACAAGCTGGAGTGCAGTGGAGCAAACAGAGCTCACTGCAGTTTCAACCTTCTGGGCTCAAGGGATCCTCCCACCTCAGCCTTCCAGGTAGCTGGGACTACAGGCACCTACCACACATGGCTAGTTTTTTTGTTTTTGTTTTTGTTTTTTGAGGTGGATTGTTGCTCTTGTTGCTTGCCCAGGCTGGAGCACAATGGGGCAATCTCAGCCACCACAACCTCTGCCTCCCAGGTTCAAGCAATTCTCCTGCCTCAGCCTCCCAGGTAGCTGGGACTATAGGTGCGCGCCACCAGGCTCAGCTAATTTTTGTATTTTTAGTAGACAGGGTTTCACCATGTTGACTAGGATGGTCTTGATCTCTTGACCACGTGATCCGTCTGCCTCAGCTTCCTAAAGTGCTGGAATTACAGGCATGAGCCACTGCGCCTGGCCATTTTGAAATTTTTCATAGAGATTAAGTGTTGCCATGTTGCCTAGTCTAGTCTCAAACTCCTGGGCTCAAGCAATCCTCCTGCCTAGGCTTAACTTCTTTTTAAACTAACTTTAAACCAATCCCTCTGTTTTTAGCCCCACCTTCATTTCACTCTCAAATATCCTAATACCATCAAATCCTAGAAGGGGACCCGAGTGGGCTGCCATTGCTGGCCAGGGCTGCCTGGGCTTATATCCCCAAGTAATTCTGAGTTGCTGAGTGTTGTCCCCTAGTCCTGTGTGGGGAGAGGACTTGTGGCCATGAGTCACCTAATTTCTCCTCTGAGTTGCCCAGAGTTTGCCCCCTAGTCCTGTGTGGGGAGGGGGGCTTGTGACCATGAGTCACCTCGTCTCTTCTTCTGGTGGCTGTTTCCTAGTTTCTCTTGAACTTGCATGCAGTATTGGAATGTGGATGAACAGCTAACTAATACTTTGAGCACAGCCTCATGATATGGTTTCAATGTATTTGATATTCTGAGCTGAATTCTGGGTGATATTTTTCAGTTTTATCTACCTATTAATAACTTTGCTCTTCAGTTGTGTTGAATCTATTTTCAGTTCTCCTGAAGAGTTTTTATTTATGTTTTTATTCATAATATTTAGGCTTTAAAAAATATGTATCTGCTTGGTTTCTTATTCCAACTCATACTTCCAGTTATCTCTTTTATTTCTTTAATCATGTTAAATATACTTATATATTATGTACGCAGTAATCACAGGATCTGAAATCGTGTGCCTCTCATTGTGGTTTGTTTTCTTTTCTTTTTCCTCCCTGTAACCTCTACCTCCTGGGTTCAGGCAATTCTTATACCTCCACCTCCTGAGTAGCTGGGCTTACAGGCACCTGCCACTACATCCAGCTGATTTTTTGTATTTAGTAGACATGGGGTTTCACCAGGCTGGTCTCAAACTTCTGAGCTTAGGCAATCTGCCTGCTTCAGCTTCCCAAAGTGCTAGGATTACAGGCATGAGCCACTGCGATCGGCCCAGGCTTTTTTTTTTTTTTTTTTTAAACTTAGCTTGCTCCATTTAGTGTATTGAATTACTTCTCAAATACTGTATTCAGTTGCTTTTGTGGAATTCTCTAGTGTCCAGGTAGAATAAATAAATTGTCAAGGATGTCCTCAGTAAGTTTTCCTCAAATATCTAAGCTAGGGCATTTCCAGGGCCACATTCTGACTCTCAGGGGCCTTACGTACTTTCATCTTTCTGAACGCCTCCTACTGTTAAAAATAATAATTGTTTTTATAACAGTGTTGGTATAAAGGCAAATTTAATTCAAGTTGGATCATATTATTATTTGTTCTGATTTTAAAAGAAATTAAAACATATTCATGAGCCCTGGGTTTTGCATGTCTCACCCTCCCTCCATCTGTACTGTAAGCTGTATTGGTGAAAGGAAAGAAAAGGAGTGAAGTACTGGGCGCAGTGGCTCACGCCTGTAATTCCAGCACTTGGGGAGGCTGAGGTAGGTGGATCACCTGAGGTCAGGAGTTTGAGACCAGCCTGGCCAACATGGTGAAACCTCGTCTCTACTAAAAATTCCAAATTTAGCCAGGCGTGGTGGGGCATATGTCTAATCCCAGTTACTCAGGAGGCTGAGGCAGGAGAATTGTTTGAACCTGGGAGGCAGAAGTTGCAGTCAGCCAGGGTCGCACCACTGCACTACAGCCTGGGCGACAGAGCAAGACTTTGTCTTAAAAGAAAAAGAATGAAGCTATATAAATTTTTGTCCCATCCCAGTTTCCATTCCCCTCTTTTGCCAAAGTTCCCATTCTTATAGTGTCCTCATCTCTAGTCCTTTTTCTCTACTTTCCTTCTTAGGCCAAAACAGTTCACCAAGTACCAAGTCTGCCCTGTACTAAAAATAAGAAAAAGACAAGATGTTTACCCAGCAATAAAAGTCTATTGCTTGTTGGGTTTTTTTTTTTTTTTTGAGACAGCGTCTTGGTCTGTCACCAGGCACCAGGCTGGAGTACAATGGCACAATCTCGGTCTCCACCTCCTGGGTTCAAGCAATTCTCCTGCCTCAGCCTCCCTAGTAGCTGGGACTACAGGCGCATGCCACCATGCCCAGTTAATTTTTGTATTTTTTTTTTAGTAGAGACAGGGTTTCACCATGTTGGCCAGGATGGTCTTGATCTCTTGACCTTGTGATCCGCCTGCCTTAGCCTCCCAAAGTGCTGGGATTACAGGCATGAGCCACCGTGCCCAGCCGCTTGTTTTTTTTTTTTTAAGGAATGAGAGGTTCTTATGTTGCTCAGGCTGGCCTCGAACACATAGCCTCACCTCCTCAAGGGCCACTGTGGCTCCCATATTTTTTGTTTTATTTAAGATTTTCTTCATCTTTGTGATCATGTTTGTATTTTGGCATACAGATGCTTTTGGTTGTGTGTTTGAATAAAAAGACTAGCAGAATAACGACTAATTTGTATTCTTTTTCTGAGAGTTTACACTAACTTTGGTGGTGCACTTTAGGAAAAAAAATCAAAGCAGTAATTATAATGGTTGGTGTTTGTGACATACACAGCAACAGGGAGTCTTGAGATTAATGCATAGTGCTGTGGGCATTATAGATCAAAGATTCTGGGCTTAACCCAATGTTAAACCCATTTAATTTATACCCAGATTATAAATTTAAATATTACAGAAGTGCATGGTGTCTCATATACTTTCTGTTTTGCTGGTTTCTTTTTGGCTGGAGACAGCTTTTGTCTGATAGATAATAACAATGCTTTACATTTATAGGCAGTGGAACATCTTTCATCCAAGGGGTTCAAAGAACTCAGCAATTATGACTCATTGTTCCTTAAAATACCTTTATAAAACTGGAGGTGACAAGCATTGAGGTAAACTTGTTACAGGTAAGGAAACTAGAGTCATGGAACATTAAAGCATTAACAGATATTTTGGGAGTCGGAGATGGAATTCAGAATAATTCCCCCTTCTTTTGATTAGAATGAAACCAGTAGCACCTATTTCCTCCTCACGAAGGTATTGATTCAAGGAATTCAGCTGCATTTGTGATAGAGATAATACTTAACTCTGAAGGGTTCCCACTTACCTACCTCTCTAAGTTCATCTCAACCTCCCCTCCCTACTCTGACTGTTCCCTTTGCCTGGAATGCTTGACCTTCCCAAGTGGATGTTTCCTAGTCATCCTTACTATTTCAGATCCAGTCTCCTTTTCTAAGGGACACCTCTGACTACATTTGATTTTATTTGCATTATAGCTCTCTCTTCCTTTCTTCACCATCGTGGTGTGTGTCTCACTCCACTTCTCGCCATGTCTTCTCACAGGACTTTCCAGATTAAGTGATTCCTGGCAAAGAAACAAAAGCAAAATTGTCCTGTTCCCCAGTGGATATGGATTCAAACTGGAAATAAAATCAGGTACAACTCCAAAAGGTGACATTGGAGAAGAACTAAGTTGGTCTACAAGGAATTGCACATGAGATGGCACACATATTTATGTTGTCTCAAGGTCACAGCCATGTTACTATGTCAAGCTGAAAATGTCACTACTATCTGCATAGTTGGACATGTTCTATTGGGAATATATTTTTTCTCTCTGAATCTATTATGAACGTGCTGGTTGGCTGGGTTCAGTAATAAATATGTGAGACCTTTCGTTTCAAAAAATAAAAATAATAATTTGCATTAAATTTCTCAAAGCATTGGTCACCTCCCCTTCAGAGCACTTTGTACAGTTGCAGTCTCAAACTTGAATGTGTTATTTGTTTGATTCATGCCTGTCCCACTCACTGAACCGTAGGCTCTGCGAGGGCAGGGAGCACGTTGGTTTTTCCTTACTGTTATAGCTCCAGCATCTCATTTAGTGTTTGGTGCTAAATATAGGCTCAAACATATTTGTTGGCTAAATGCATCTAGATTTTAGAAAAAGTATGCTTTCTTTAAAAAAACAAAATGAGAAAGAGAGAGAGAGACAGGGACTTGCTTTGTCGCCCAGGTTGGTCTTGAACTGCTGGCCTCAAGTTATCCTCCTCCTACCTTGGCCTCCCACAGTGTTGGGATTACAAGCATGAGCCACTATGCCCAGCCAAAAATGTTCTTTCAAAATGTGCACCAAATCCTGCAACTTCAACTCAGAATTATAATTAGGGAGAAAATGATTGGCATTCTAAATTATTATTCTTAAATCTGTTAGAACAGAACATTTATAGAATGCCTTAACAACTTAAAATATAGCCATTAAACTTGAGTAAGATAAGAGGCAAATTAGGAAGGTAGTGAAAGGGGGAGAGCTCAGAAAAACTGTGATTAAAGGGATTTACCACAGTTAATGCAAAATTTAACTTTGGTTATTGGAAATCTGAGATTAGACAGAAAAACCAAGGGATTATTTCTGCAGCAGGAGTCCCCACTTGGATCCAAGAGGCAGACTCCTCTCCATGCATCTTTTTGGCTCCAGGTGACGGGGGACTCACTTGAAGATTTTTCTAGGGCACCTGAAGAGAGAGAAGACTGAATACATTAGAGCTGTCTATTCCCTGGCCTCATTGAGGGGCTCACATCTGAGACTCCTGGAGAAGTGCTCCCAGAAAAATCCTTGTGTCACTGCCTAGGTGTTCAAATGTGACAGAACGGGCAAGAATCCCTCTTCTTCTGAAGTCAGGCTTTTTGATTTAGCAGGGAGAATAATCTAAAGTTGGCTTTTTTTTTTCTTTTGTTTTAAACAGGGGTCTATCATAATCCTATCTGTGTTTTGGAAAGAAAACTCTTGAGGCAGTGCCAAGAATGGATCTGAAGAGGGCAGAAAAAAACAAAGGGAAATCATTGAAGAAATTGTTTTCATAGTCACAGTAAAAACTGATGGGGTCCGAAATCAAGTTGTTACAGCAATCTGAGAGGCTTAGGAGATATTTTGGAGGGATGATTAGCAAACTTTGAGCCCAGCTGGATATGGGCAGTGAGGAACAAGAAACAAAGCTGTTTCAGGTTTCTAGGTTTGGCAATCAATGTAAGAAGGTGCTACTAATTAAACAGGGAATAGTGGACAAGCAGGTTTAGTGGCGTACAAATGTTAGGTTTTCAGTGCCTGAGGGACATTCAAGTGAAGATGCCAGAAAGAGAGCCTACCTGGCTGGAGATCTAGATTTCGGAACCTAGATTATACTCCTTTGAGGAATTTGTTTGTTTTTTATATTGGATGTAAAACTAAATGCATCTTCTCATAGCAACTATGCTGTAAATGAATGTAGTTAATTTCCCAAGGCAGCCTCCAAACTCTCATTTAGCCTACAGTGTTCTGATAGAGCATGGTGAAATATTTATAAGAATGTTTCTGGAGGGACTTGGATTCACCAGGCCAAGTCAGTACTCCAGTAAAGCATCTTTTCTTGCTCAGACACAGAATTAGGAGTCAGACCTTATTCTCTTTCTTAACAAAAGGGCCCTTAAGATGGCTTAAGGGATAAGTGTGGCTTCTTTGGTGTTGAACTAATATTGTTTGTAGTTTTAGGGAGACAGGGCTACATTTTTATTTCACAAAGTGAGAGGGAGAATTGGCAGATGTTTCAGGAAAGGATAAGTGTCTAGCTTAGGTAGTGGCTGATAGTAATGGAGTGGAAAGTCGGAGGGAAGGACCCTGATTAGGGTTGAAAGAGTGAGTAGCAGGAGTGATAATTCAGCAAGAATAGAATGCCTGGGAACCACAGATTGCAGGCAGCTTTGGTGACCTTATTAATGAGCTTGGGACGATATCAACCACACATTTTACTAATCAGTAATGAAGAAGAGAAGGAAGGGGAAGTGGAGTGGGTATCTGGGAGCAATGAGTCGGCAGGGAAAGGTGGTTCTTTGGATACTAGATGACTCCCTGTTAGGACAGCCATTTGTAGGTATGTTGATTTAATTTAGGATTGCTGGTAGCAAGAGCATATTATCTCAGCTCACAATTCAAACGCTAAAGGACAAGGCAACTTGTGCATAACTGATAAAGGAGGAACTCTACTATTATGTAAATAGACATGCTGTCCAGGTGATCTTACCTATTCCTACTTTTATAGCTTTAAAAGTCAGTTAAGCCAAGCTCAAAGGTCTGTGCCTTTAGTCCTAGCTACTAGGGAGTCTGAGACAGAAGGATTGCTTGAGCCTAGGAGTTCAGTTCAAGTTTATCCTGGGCAACACAGCAAGACCCCATCTCTTAAAAAAAAAAAAAAAAAAGTCAGTTAAACAGGCCAGGCATGGTGGCTCACACCTGTAATCCCAGCACTTTGGGAGTTGGGATCATTAGGCGAGCAGATCATTAGGTCAGGAGTTCGAGACCAGCCTGGCCAATATGGTGAAACCCCGTCTCTACTAAAAATACAAAATTAGTCGGGCATGGTGGCATGCACCTGTAGTCCCAGCTACTGGGAAGGTTGAGGCAGAAGAATTGCTTGAACCTAGGAGACGGAGGTTGCAGTGAGCCAGGATCACACTGCTGCACTCCAGCCTGGCTGACAGAGGGAAACTCCATCTCAAAAAAATTTTAAAAAGCCAGTTGAATGTTTCTTATTCAAAAACACTTGACAGGTACAGTAAGATAGAATAAGTTGTAGTATCCAATAGTACAATAGGGAAATTATAGTTAACAATAATTTATTGTCTATTTCAAAATAGCTAGAAGAGAAGAGAAGGATTGTTATGTTCCCAACACAAAGAAAAGATATATATTTGAAGTGATGGATACCCCATTACCCTATTTGGATCAATTCACATAGTATACATGTATCAAAATATCACATGCACCCCCAAAATAGGTACAACTGTTATATAAGTTTTTTAAAGCACTGGAAAGATTTATGAAGTCTCTTTAAAAAGCTTTCTTATCACCATTAAGCGTTATGGTTTTGCTTTTATGAAAACTTTATTGCATATAAAAATAAACTGTGGTTGATTTTGTCCTTTTTTTTGTTTGTTTCCATTTCCCTGGCAGTGCTATTGCTAAGGAATGAAGAAATGGAAGGAATATAGGGGGTATCGCTCAAGGGAGACTAATTTCTTTTGGGTCAGTGAGTTGCCCAAACTTCAGATATGGCAGGAGATGCTGGGTGTGAGTGGCAGTTGACCCTTTGTAGAAACAAGAAAAATGAGAAAAGAATACTTAAACATATTTGGTATGTATTGATTCAAAAAATATTTAGGTAGTTGCAATTTATAGCATTTTCATTTTTATGTTATTCAGATGGAGATTAAATATTCTCTGGCTTGACCAAGTAGAAATGCATTCAGTACATATGTCGTACTGTTAACATGATAGGAATTTTCCAGACTGTCTCGTAGATGTGTTAGGTCACATCTTTTTTGAGTTCTTTATTCTAGTATTATATATTTCCTACTTGCTTGCCTAAGGAGAGAAAGGGACTTTGTGTGAATAATCTCAGCATCTCCCTTATGGGTCTCAACACATGGCTGCTGGTTTCCTGAAATTCTTTTTGTGTAGATGCTCTATCATGCGGGAAAATTGCTTAATGGACAGGAGAAAAATCCTATGGACAAACATTGGCAACTCAAACAGAAACTCATATGACAACTCAAAATGGATAATTAGGTTTGGTCTGTAGAACTGCAGAAATCCATCTGCCAAACAACATGCCTGCTGTTTCCAGAGTCCAGCTACTAAAACCCAAATAGTCTCTTAAGTCCAGCTACTAAAACCGGAAAGGACAGATCTCAAACCAAAGCAAAAAACAAACCAAACCAGAGTGTAATCTTGTAAACGAAACGGAATCAGTGAAACATTTAGCCTCCATGATATCCCAGGTCAGCTCCTTTTTCACTCATTTTATTTTCCCCCCAAGGCTTCAAAGAGCTGCTGAAATTTTTAAAGAAACTATGCTGGGCACAAAAGCCTAAAATGTTCAGAAGAGTACTGTGTTTTCTTTATAAGCTACCTCTAGTTTGGTGTAGAGTATAGTGAGTTTGAATACAGAGTAGGGTCTGATTTACCATTAAAGAAGGGATCGGCCGGGTGTGGTGGCTCACGCCTATAATCCCAGCACTTTGGGAGGCCGAGGCGGGTGGATCACGAGGTCAAGAGATCGAGACCATCCTGGTCAAAATGGTGAAACCCCGTCTTACTAAAAACACAAAAAATTAGCTGGGCACGGTGGTGCGTGCCTGTAATCCCAGCTACTCAGGAGGCTGAAGCAGGAGAATTGCCTGAACCCAGGAGGCGGAGCTTGCGGTGAGCCGAGATCGCGCCATTGCACTCCAGCCTGGGTAACAAGAGCGAAACTCCGTCTCAAAAAAAAAAAAAAAAAAAAAGAGCCTGGTTCCTCCTCTACTCGCTCTCTTTCTCCCTCTATCGTCATGTGATGTACCGCCTCTGCCTTCACCTTTGGTCATAATTGTAAGCCCTCACCTGAAGCAGATGTTGGCACCATGCTCCCTGAATAGCCTGCAGAGCCATAAGCCAAAACAAACCACCTTCCTTTATAAATTACCCTGCCTTGGGTGTTTTTTTATAGCAATGCAAATACAGAAAGTGAATACAAGGCGGTTGGGGCAAGCCAGGAAATTATCAATCTTGGATACAAGGTGTTATGAGATCCAAATGATAGACTCCATGGTTATATTAAAACACCATGTTTTTTTTGTTTTGAGACGGAGTTTCGTTGTTGTTACCCAGGCTGGAGTGCAATGGCACAATCTCGGCTCACCGCAACCTCCACCTTCTGGTTTCAAGCAATTCTCCTGCCTCAGCCTCCCGAGTAGCTGGGACTACAAGCGCGCACCACCATGCCCAGCTAATTTTTGTGTTTTTAGTAGAGATGGGGTTTCACCTTGTTGACCAGGATGGTCTCAATCTCTTGACCTCGTGATCCACCCGCCTCGGCCTCCCAAAGTGCTGGGATCATAGGCGTAAGCCACCGCGCCTGGCCTGAAACACCATGTTTTTAATGGAAGAATGGATGGTGTTTTTAGCAGAACCCAGAGGTGTGAAGGAGAGAGACCCAGGTGTTCATGTGGCAGGTAGTAGAAAACTACAGTATCATTGGAAAAGTTTTGTGCCAGAGAAAGACCTAGAGACCGGAGAATAGTATCATTTAAAATTGTGTAAATTGTGAACCCTGCTTTGATACTGGTAAGGCCATCTAAAATTTCTGTACGAATAGCACAACCTCTATTTTATTTTAGTTTATTTATTTCTTGAGTGGGTGATGCAATTATGTATCTCCAACTTCAGTAGATATAAAGGATTTAAAAGTAAAAAACTGTAGCCAGGCACAGTGGCTGACGCCTGTAATTCCAGCACTGTGGGAGGTCAAGGCAGGTGGATCACTTGAGGCCAGGAGTTCCAGACCAGCTTGGGCAACATGGTAAAACCCTGTCTCTACTTAAAAAAAAAAAATTAGCTAGGCATGATGGTGTATGCCTGTAATCCCAGCTACTCAGAAGACTGAGGCACAAAAATCACTTGAACCCAGGAGGCAGAGATTGCAGTGAGTTGTGATCAAATCACTGTACTGTAGCCTGGGGAAGAGAGTGAAACTTTGTCTCAAAAAAAAAAAAAGGAAAAAAATTTGTCTTATGCCTGATTGCCAGTCACCTTGACTTTTTCTAGAAGCAATAATGGTTATCAGTTTGTAGCATAGTAGTGTGGATGGCCATGGGAGGGAGAGTCCCAGTGCCTAGTAAAATTAACCATTGAAACAATGCCTGCAAGTGCTATGATGTCATTTTAATCTTGAAACAAAGGCAACATCAGTAAATACAGTCCACTGTGCCTGCCCAGATAAAGCAGGAGGCTTTTTGGTTTACTGCTAAGATTTCTGGTCTGGCATACACCTTGCCTGTTGCAGCATGCCTCTGGAATTACTGGACATCATTTGTGGCTTGACTGTGTCTTAAAGAATGCCTAGTGACCCACTGCTGGGGATTATGGTACCAGGTCCCTGGGTTCCGGTATACCCTCATGGGCTAGACAGGCAAGAGTCTGGTTCAACTGCTTAGATAAAACCTTTTTAAAATCAGAAGCTGGTTAAGGAAGGTAAAACAACCCTTGAAGACATAAGAATTCCGTGTTTTTGTTTCTCAAGAGGACCTGCTAATCCTCTTGGAGATAATTAGTGGTAATAAGTGAAGGAGAATAGCTCACTCTTTTGAAGGATAATTCTTCGCTCACTTAAAGGAGAACAAGTGGTGGCAAAGTGTTTGGCCCATGCGGTTCGATGGGGTGCCTGAGTCACCAGAGGTGAGCAGTGGGAGATGGCAGCTATGGTTAGTGCACCAGGGTTCAAGGAATCCAGGTGTTTCAGAAAATTAAGCTAGAAAATACTTGAAATTGGGCTGGGTGCGGTGGCTCAAGCCTGTAATCCCAGCACTTTGGGAGGCCGAGGCGGGTGGATCACGAGGTCAAGAGATCGAGACCATCCTGGTCAACATGGTGAAACCCTGTCTCTACTAAAAATACAAGAAATTAGCTGGGCATGGTGGCGCGTGCCTGCAATCCCAGCTACTCAGGAGGCTGAGGCAGGAGAATTGCCTGAACCCAGGAGGCGGAGGTTGTGGTGAGCCGAGATTGCGCCGTTGCACTCCAGCCTGGGTAACAAGAGCGAAATTCTGTCTCAAAAAAAAAAAAAAAAAAGAAAAATTACTTGAAATTTTTTCTATTTCTTAATAAGTTACAGTTAAAAAAAAAATAAAAGGAAAAAGAAAAGCCCATACAAGAATCAGGAGGAATAACTGTCCATGATTCAGCTTCCTGATAATCTGCCATCTTGTGGTTCCTGGTAAGTCTGTTTTAACCACAGCCCCACTTCCTCTAAGTACCACCACCAAGTCCCTAAGGCTGACCTGATGGCCAAGGAGTTTTAGCCTTTGGTTAGGAACGTAAGTGTGTGTGCTTGTGTGTAACAAGTTTGATAGTTCTTAATTATTTGGGAAGAAATGTACACACAGGAATAAAAAGAGAGATTATGAACAAATGTTACTTCTGTTCTTGCTAGAAACTGATGTCAAGACAGGATTTGAAGTGTAAGAAATTTCTTGGAGAAAATACCTGTGAGGGAAAATTGAGCCAAGAAAAGGAGAGTTAAGAGAGTCTCAGATCCAACACTGATCTGATCCCTGGGAAGGAGAGAGGGCAGGAAGGAAGAGTGAGTAGGAAGATTCTTAGAGTGCAGTGCAGTTCTAAGAAAGTTTTGTCCAGGTTGATGGGGAGTCCTCAAGCCTAATTAACCAGGTAAAAAATGTGTCTGCCTTTTGTTTCTCTGCCATACTTGGTGACTGGCCAGGAGCAGCCCATGTGAAGCTTAACGTCAGTACCCATGCATATGGGATGCGGAACACAGCACATGGGGTCATCCCATGGTATCTGTGTAGACAGGGCTGCTTTTACAATTTTGCATAGCTGCAATAAATTTTGTAGGCATTTGGAGTATTTTAGGATGGTAGAGGCAGTGAAATGAGATGGCAATAACAACAGCCATAATAATCTGCATGTATACATGCACCAAGCCTTTCCTAAGTACTACACACCTATGAAATCAGGTAATGCTTACAATAGCGTTGGGAAATGATACTATAAGCAAGACTTTCTCAATTTCAAATCAAAGAAACCCAGCTAAAATTAACTTGAGTAAAAAAAAAAGGGGGGTGGGTAGAAATTATCTGCTCTATGATAGACTGGATAAAGAAAACGTGGTGGCCGGGTGCGGTGGCTCACACCTGTAATCCCAGCACTTTGGGAGGCCAAGGTGGGTGGATCATGAGGTCAAGAGATTGAGACCATCCTGGTCAATAAGGTGAAACCCCATCTCTGCTAAAAATATAAAAATTAGCTGGGCATGGTGGCGCGAGCCTGTAGTCCCAGCTACTCGGGAGGCTGAGGCAGGAGAATTGCTTGAACCCAGGAGGCAGAGGTTGCGGTGAGCCGAGATCGCCCCATTGCACTCCAGCC